CTGGCGCCCACCTGGCGCAGCTCCGAGTTACGCACGGCGATCTGAGCCCCCAGCCCCTCCTCCCACGGGGGCTGCGGTTCCGGGAGCGCCCCTTAGGTAGCAAGTGAGAGGCTTCCTGCCTGCTGGTCTTCAGCTAATTCCCCGTGGCCACCTGCCTGTGACTCCAACGCTTGTGGTTTCTGGGACTTACTGCCGGTGAAGCGCACCCCTTTATCAATGCACAATTGCAGGTGACCCTCGAGCAATGGGAAGAGAGGTTAGGGGCGCCAAACCCTGCACAGTCGATCGGGGTATAACTTTTCACTTCCCCAAAACTTAACAATTAATAGCCTACTGTTGACTGAAGCCTTACCAAGAACATAAACTTTGGATGAACACGTATGCTGTATGTTATATGTGTTATGTACTGTGTAATATAGTATCTGCAGTATGGAAATCCGTGTGTAAGTGGATCCATGCAGTTCAAACCCGTGTTGTTCAAGGGTCAACTGTCATTGAAAGGAACCTTCTAAGTATCAAGTGATAACAGCTCAGTGTGAAATGTGTGTATATCACCTCTCCTTGTTCGTGCTATACAACTCAGCCCCCAGGTATGATCACTCAATAGTGCACTGTGTAAACTACCAGACCAACACGCAAACAAGTGTGTAGTGATAGATAAGGATTTTATTTTTTCTTGTTCACGTTTTAAAATCTGAGATCAAGCTATACGTAACTTTCGGAAACTTACTCTTTTGCCTACTGTCAAGGGTACAGTTCATATTGATACACAGATTCTTTCATACTTTTTTTCCAAATAGCTTTATTGAAATATAATTGACAAACTCCACATACTTGCAGTGTAATTTGGTAAGTTGTGACACCGTTGAAACTACCACTGTAATCAAGATAATGAACATGCACAAATCTCCCAAAAGTTTTCCTATTTCGCTCGGTAATTCCTCCTTCGGGCTCCTCTCTTTTCTGCTTCGTGACCCTATAGATTAGATTCTGTTTCTTATTGTAACATAAATTGAATCACACAGTGTGTACTCTTCCTTGTGGTCTAGCTTTTTGCACTAAGCATAATTGTTTTGACATATCTATGTTGTTGCCCATATAATGTTC